TAGTAATCTCATACATGAGCCCTGGATATCCACAGACAAATGTAAAAACCTTCCCTAAAAGCCGAGACTGTAAATTCCAAAAAGGCAAGTCCCCCCCCACCCACCATCCAAAAAAAACCAAAAAGCTAAAGAGGATAGAGAGAAATACTATTAACTGATGATATATGGAGGGGATAATAATCAATGTAATGAAACAAGCTATATGAATGGTTGACTGTGAGATGATGTGCCCTGTAAACTTTCACTCAATCCAAAATAAAAACATTTAATTAAAAAAAAGAAAGAAAGAAGAGCTGGGAGTGGAGTGTGTCCTTTGGACCTGGGTACCCTGCACTGTGAAGCTCCTAGACCCAGAGGAAGATTAATGCCAATACACATGGAGAGCTCTAGGAAATGTTGGACCTGCTGATGCTGAAAGGAGATGAGGACCTTTCTCCAGAACTGATAAAGAGAGAAAGCCTTCCCTAGAATCAGCACTCTGAATTTGGACTTCCAGTCTCCTAAACAGTGAGGATAAATTTGCTTGTTAGTCATTCACTTGCAGTATTTCTGCCATAGCAGCACCACATAACTTAGACACAGTACAACTAGTTTCTCTTTATATATGGCCTTTTGGGCCCTGAATCTATAATTCTGCTAAATGTATTTCCTAAACCATAATCTCTCAAAGGAATTGGCTAGGGCTTCTGGTATGGTGATGTGGGTTGATGCGCTGGATTGCAAAGTTGGCTTGAACTGCAAGGTCAGCAGTTGAAGTTCATCAGCTGCTCCTCAGAAACCCTATACAGTACTGCTATGGGTGGGAACTGACTAGACAATACTATGCAAATGAGGTGTGTAACACCCCTGCAGGGATTGGTAAATTATTATGTAAATAAGGTGGCTCTAGTCTATAGCGGTGGTAGTGATTGGTCAGTTTTGCCACCATATTACACTTAAAAGAGCCAATCCCACAGAAGTTAGGAGTAGGGGAAACATTATTACTACTAAGAAGAGGAGCCAGGAATAGAGCAAATCCTTTGGATCAAGGGTTCCTATGCTGGGAACCTCCTAGACACCGGAGACAGAGTGCTGCAACACTGAAGACAGTGAAACAGCAGTAGCAGTATGAGTGGCAGGAGCCAGGAGACTAGGTCAAGACTGCTGTGGTGGACTTCCCAGCAGTGATGTTTAAAGTGATGTGTTATCGTAACTAGGCCACGATTCCCAAGATTGTGTGGCTGTGCTTCATTTTGTGACCCGATGTAGTTATCCTCCATTTTGTGTTTTAAATCCTAACCTCTTTGATATAAGTAGAGTGTTGAAGAGCAAAGATATCACCTTGAGGACTAAGGTACACCTGACCCAAGCCATGATATTTTCAATAACCTCATATGGATGTGAAAGCTGGACGGTGAATAAGGAAGATTGTAGAAGAATTGATGCCTTTGAATTGTGGTGTTGGAGAAGAATACTAAAAGTGCCATGGACTGCCAAAAGAACCAATAGATCTGTTTTGGAAGAAGTGCAGCCAGAATGCTCTTTGGAGGCCAGGATGGTTAAGCTTCATCTCTCATACTTTGGACATATTGTCAGGAGGGACCAGTTGCTGGAAAAGGATGTCATGCTGGGTAAGGTGGAGGGTCAGAGAAAAAGAGGAAGACCCCCAACGAGCTGGATCGGCCAGGTGGCATCATTGATGGCATCGAGTGTGGCGGCGGTAGTGAGGTTGGCCCAGGATCGGACATTGTTTCATTCTGCTGTGCATGGGGTCGCTATGAGTCGGTTCCGACTCTATGGCACCTGACAACAACAACCTTGGGAGAGTCCTGGCACGGCACTGTAAAATAAGCACTGGATTGCTAACCAAATGGTTGATGGTTCAGACTCATCAGCTGCTCTTTAGACACCTATACATGTGGGTTAATGTGCTGGACTGCAAAGTCGGTTTGAACTGCAAGGTCACCAGTTCAAGCTCACCAGTTGCTCCTTGGAAACCCTATACAGGGTCACTAAGAGTTGGAATCAACTCAACAGCCCTTAACAAGTCAGAAATGACTTAGTGGCACTTCACAACCATAACAACAACCTTGAGGGAGTAGTCTGTGTTCAGTCAGGTACCTGGTTCTCCCCTGCTCTGTATCTTATACCCAGCTCATCATCATCTGATCTCTGTTTTCTGGGACTTGAATTAGCAGCCTGCCATCTGACCTGCTGATTTGGAGATTGGCCTAGAGGGCTTCCTGATTAACAAGAATATCTGCTCTTGAGAGGGTAGCACATAATTTGGGATGGGAAAGCTTCATGTTGGGAACCCTCCCAAACCTTACCAATGCATATCTTCATTTGATCCTTTTTGGCTGTAATAAATATGTTGCTGTTTGGTGCCACTGCATTGGTTCCCACTCAGAGTGACTCTATGAACAACAGAATATAACACGGACCGGTCCTGCGCTATCTTCACAACTGCTGTTATGCTTGAGTCCACTGCTGCTGCCTCTGTGCCAATCCATTTTGTTGGGAGTCTTCCTCTCTTTCACTTACCCTCCACTTTACTAAGCATAATGTGCTTCTCTGGGGTCTATTCACTCCTGTTAACAAGTCCAAAGTATGAGAGATGAAGTTTTGCCATCCTGGCTTCTAAGGAACATTCTGGCTGTACTTCCAAAACATATTTGCTTGTTCTTATGGCAGTCTATGGTACTTTTAATGCTCTCCATGAATTTTTGAATTATCCAGCAAATTACTGAATCCAAAGAAACAGTGGGACTCAGCAGGTTGGAGTGTTGGGTGGACTCCTGAGACAGTGAGTGGCATTTTGAAGGGGTAGTGAGCAACCAGTCTTGAATTTGTGGCCAGCAGATCGGAAGGTTGGGGTGTTATGTGGACTCCCCAGGCTTGTAACTGGAGTCTATCTATTTGGCAATATGAAGGACCGTGTCCTTTTAGCTAGTTAAATTCTAACCTATAGTCAGAGATGGAGAGTGCTGTGGGGGTAGCTGGTGAAGAAGATGGAGAAATGGGAATCTGGGGACTGGATCAATTCCCACACTTTGGGGATTGAGTTCATGCTGATCTTTACTGCGCACATTTAACAAAAGTTAGATCATTTTACATGTGCCATGTGATTGCTCAGCAATTCAGTTAGGATAACACTGGATCTCATTTTAGAAATGAAGAATCTGGGAATCAAAGAAATTATATGATCTTTCTAGAGTTATACAATGTAAGTGATGAAATTATTATCTTGTTAGCATATACAGAGAGAATTAGTCATCCTTCTTCCTACATTTTAGGAGTCCCTCAGTAGCTCAAATGGGTAAGTGCTAGACTACTAACCTAATGGTTGATGAGTCAAACCCACCCAGATGTGCTTCAGAAAGCCTGACACCTGCTGCCGGGTCATATCTTTGAAACCCTATGAAAAGCACTTCTACTCTGCACACAGGGTGGCACCATGAGTGGGAATCAACTCCGTGGCAGCTAACAACTACCTCCTAGATTTAAACCACATTGATGATGCAACTTCATGTAATCCTTTGAGATAAACAATAAAATTATTTATTGGAATAAACAGGATTCCACCACTCAATCTCTTACTTGGAACCTCTTCTTTCCATCATCACTGCACATTTAAAAGGCCAGAGTGCATTACATCACTTTTTGATTACTGTGTTAATGTATTCTAAAATGCATATTTTTTACATCCCAAATTGTGTTACAATTGATGTGACCAGGCAACAATCGTGACAGAGACGTAATTGCTGTGCATAGAGAATAGTTAATAAAAGATTCAAAAGCATTAGACTAAATGTAAAGAGGTTTTAGGAATATCTTAACCAATTTATGTTACTTATACAATATTTTCCTTTGCATGTGTTTATAAGTGACATACAACAGAAATACCATATTGGGTATAAGATAATAATTTCACCTAATATTTTATAAGTAAATTATTGGAGAGGATGTAGGAAAATAGGAACTATCACACTGCTTGTGGAGTAAAATGTGTGTCAGAGAACAATTTGGAAACACCTATCCAAAATTTGCTATGGGTTGGAACCAATTTGATGGCACTTAACAACAACATCCAAAATTATGCAGATAACACAACTTTGCTTACAGCAAAAAGGACTCAAAGCACTTACTCATGAAGATCAAAGACTACAATATGGATTACACTTCAACATAAAGAAAGGAAAATCCTCATCATTGGACCAATAAACAACATCATGTTAAATGGAGAAAAAACTGGAGTAGTTAAGGATTTCCATTTATTTGGATCCACAATCAATATCCATGGAAACAGCAGTCAAGATGTCTAAGGACATAATGCACTGGGCAATTCTGATGCAAAAGACTTCTTTAAGGTGTTTAAAAAAAACAAAACAAAACAAAACAAAAAAAGAGCAAAGCTGTCACTTTGAGGACTACGATGTGGCAGACCTAAGCCAGGGCATTTTCAATAGTCTCATATGCATGTGAAAACTGACAATGAATAAGAAGACCAAAGAATTGATGTCTTTGAATTGCGGCGTGAATTTATCCGACATCCAGAAGAAACAAATCTGTTGTGGAAGAAGTCACAATGCTCCTTCGATTCCGTGTACTTTGGACATGGTATCAGTAGGGAACCGTGACTGGAAAAGGACATCATGCTTGGTAAAATAGAGGGTCAGGGAATAAAGGACCCTCAATAAGACAGACTGACAGAGTGGCAGCAACAACAGGCTCAAGCATAGCAAGCATTGTAAAAATGGCACAGGACCCGGTAGTGTTTTATTCTGTAGTACACAAGGTCGCGGAGGCGGGACTGACTCCGTGGCATCTAATACATAAAAACAAATCAAACCACAGTACCTACTGAATGAACAAACCAACGCATGAATGAAGGCACGCATGCACACCATCAGCTGCTCGCCCCTGCCCTCCTGTCTCTGACACACACGTCTGACGGGAGGAGGCTCCGAAGCAGGGGTAGTGGGGGAGGCGGGACCAGGGCAAGGGGGTGCGTCCAGCAAACCGAGCTACTCACCACTGTACCAACACCGCGCGACCTTCCGCACGGGCCTGGCCAATGAAGGCCGCGCATCGGTCGAAGTGACTGAGCAGGTCGGTCTCGGGTTTGTCCAACGCTGGCACGAAGAGGCACCGTAGACCCTCGACTTCAGCGCCTGTCTTGAAGCCGGGTTCCTTTGAGTCCACCGTCAGTACGGCAGTAATGCCCGCCACTCTTAGCTGATCCAGCTCCGCGACGGCCTCTGAACCACCTAGGTAAAGCCCGGGCCGCACTTCCAGCATCTGCCGAGCGGAGCAGCTCGGGCTCGCGCTCCACCTGCCGCGCTCGCAGCCATCGCTCAGGTCCTGAGCCTCCAACATGGCGGCGCCCAGAGCCCAGACGGCCGCGGGCCTTACCATCGAGTACAAGGGCGGCTAGAACGTTCTTTCTTTGGAACCCGCGGACGTGAGCGATGTAGCGGCTCCTGGCGCAAGGGAGGACCAAGTAGACTCGGGAATGTAGAGTTACTGGGGAAGGTGTTTACTCTTGCTGAAGCAGAGTTATGCCTTTCAGCACAGCTTTTAAAACAAGGTTGGAGGTTCAAACTCCTTGGAAGCCCTGTTCTGGGTAGCTATGAGTCAGAAGCGACTTGAAGGCACTTAACAACAATCCTCAGCTTGGTAGAGGATGAGTTCTCCACTGCAGGATTTCATAGACTGCGAGTGTTGAGATTTTCAGGAAAGGGACAGCAAAATCATCTGGATTCCGTTTTAAAAGGAAAATTTCTACAACATAATCAACAATGTTGTTTAATGCACCTGAAGTCAAGCATGTTTTTCAATGCTTATGAAGCATTTATTTACATTTCTTCTCTTGTATTTCCACCCCTTTTCTGGCCCAGTTTTATATTGGGATGTTACTGTACAGTGAATTACTAAATTTGGCCCTTCTAGGCAAATTGTTTGTGACTTCCACAAAATGATTAGCTGTGAGTATATTAATAAGTTGCTTATGACCTACCAAGGGGATTGGATGGTTTGTTAATAATGTAAAAAGGTGTATGGAACCCATGTTGAGGGTTGTTGTTGTTATGTGCCGTAGAGTCGGTTCGTACCCATAGCGACCCTGTATAGGGTTTCCAAGGAGACGATGGTGAGCTTGAACCGCCAACCTTGCAGTTCAAACGGTTTTGCAGTCTGTGGGGCCATGCAAATCAGGTGTATGGAATCTATATGAAGGATTGATACGTTTTGCTCTCGGATGAACAAACATCCCTTAATCCTGTGACTCTAGTGAATTTACTGTCTCTGTTTTGTGTTCTTAGTCACTTGTTATTATTAGGTGCCATTGAGTTGGCTGTGACTCATAGTGACCCTATGCACAACAGAATTAAAAGCAGCCTAGAAGGAGCTCTGGTAGCGTAGTGGTTACGAATTGGGCTGCTAATCTCATGGTCAGCAGTTTGAAACTACCAGCTGTTCCGCGGGAGAAAGATGAGGCTTTCTGCTCCCGTAAAGATTTACAGCCTCGGAAACCCTGTACAGGGTCACTATGAGTTGGAACCAACTCCATGGCACACAACAACAACAACAAAGTCTTGCGCCATCCTCACAATTGTTACATTAACCACATTGGTGTTGCCACTGTGTCAATCCATATCATTGAGGCCTTCCTCTGTTTCACTGACACTCTACTTTACCAAGCATTGTATCCTTCCCCATGGACTGGTCCCTCCTGATAATATGTACGAAGTGTGAGAGATGACATCTCTCAGAACTAAAGCATGGCTGACCCAAGCCTTGGTATTTTCAATAGCCTCGTATGCGTATGAAAGTTGGGCTATGTTATGTATAAGGAATACAGAATAACCGATGCACTTGAGTTGTGTGGTGTTAGAGAAGAATATTGAAAGCTCTATGGACTGCCAGAAGAACAAACAAATCTGTGTTGGAAGAAGTACAGCCAGAATGTTCCTTAGAAGCCAGGATGGTGAGACTTAGTCTCTCATACTTCAGACATGTTATCAAGCCTCTGGAGAAGGACATCATGCTTGGTAAGGTGGAGGGTCAGTGAAAAGATGAATACCCCCAATGAGATGGATTGGCACAGTGGAAGCAGTGTAGGAACAATTGTAAAGATGGCTCAGGTAATGTTACATATAATGCATTAGGTGGCTTGGAGTTAAAGCCACCTAACCTAACACCACCTAGACTATTGATCTTTATGCGTTCCATTTCATAGCCACTAGGTGGCACTATTTGCTCTTTTGAAAGACATTTTCAAAGGAAAAATACTGTCTAGAGATGTTTTCCATAAAAGGAGGTAAAAAGAGAAAACCGTCTTTGGTTAAAGGAACAAAAAAAGCACAATTTCTGTAATTTATAACTAGTTATCCTGCACCCTTGATAAATATTGACTAAGTGAAAAACGCTGAAAGCAAGAACCTGTAATAAGGAGGAATCCTCTCAGAGAAGGAAAACGAAAATATTTTTGACTAGTAGAGAACAATATAAAAGTGGTAAGACTGCACCATGTCAAAGGTGGAGAACTTGCAAGACCCAGAAAACAAAGCAGTCCCATCGAGTTCTGGCTTTCACCGGTTCCCCTGTAATTGCTAAGAAATCAATTATGCAGTGGCTTGCATCTCGAGAAGACACTCATTTAGTAGCCTGGCTTGACATTGCGTAGCCTTCTCATCCTTACTGTTTCTCAAAAAAACAAACAAACACACCACCACAACAAAAAAAGAAACAACAAAAAATCCCTGGCTTTTAGAAAATATTTAAGGAGCCCTGATAGCATAATGGGTTATGTGTTGGGCTGCTAATCACAAGGTCAGCAGTTTGAATCCACCAGACACTCCATGGGAGAAGGTTGAGGGTCTCTGCTCCCGAAAAGAGTTACAGCCTTGGGAACCCTAAACAGGATCACTATTGAGTCAAAATTGACTGGACTGCTTGGAGTCCCTGGGTGGGGCAAACAGTTAATCACATGACTACTACCTGATAGTAGTAGGTGCTCTGATAGCGTAGTGGTTATGAATTCAAAGTCAGCAGTTTGAAACTACCAGCTGTTCTACGGGAGAAAGATGAGGTTTTCTGCTCCTGTAAAGATTTCCAGGCTTGGAAACCCTGTACAGGGTCACTATGAGTCAGAACCAACTTCACGGCACATAACAACAACTTCCTGAAATGTTGGCAGTTTAAACCCATCCAGAAGCACCTTGCAAAAAGAGGCCTGATGATCTGCTTCCAAAAGCTCACAGCCTTGAAAACCTATGTAGTGGTTCTACTCTGTACCCACGAAATCACCATGAGTCAGAATTAACTCAGGACAACTAACAACAGCAGAACATAGTCACATGTATGATTTATCATTGTCAAGAGTATTTACTGTAAGTACATATCTGTGCTGTGCAATGATCAGGGAACTTCCCCTCTTTTGCCTCATTGCCATCCTCATTGTGATCCAAAGACAAGTTCCTTTTTCTATTCCCAGCCTGTTGCCAGTGCCTCCTAAACGCAATAGGCTATGAGGAAATGTTAGTAGATTTTGACCATTTTATGCTCAATGGTACTTCAGATCTAGGACTGTTAAGAAGATACACATGTAATGTACTTTGATGGCCCTTATAAATATGGCATTGTGGAGGCATCTGACTTCCTCTCATTATCAACATCAGCCACCCAAGGCTGTTTCCTGTGAGGCAGAGGTCAGACATGCCTTCTCTTGCCAGCCTTTTTACCAATTCTGATACCAGCCATCCCCTCCCATGGCATTCTCTACTTCTCTGCTGGGTTCAATAATTCATTGCAATGGTCACATAGAACTCACAGACTCTAGGTGATTGTGAGATTTATTATGAGTACTTGTGACTATAAGATTTATTAGGAAGTGGTGGTGGTGTGCTGTGGAGTCGTTCCGACTTAGCGACCCTGCATAGGGTTTCAGAAGGTATAAAATCTTTTACAGGAGCGGAAAGCCTCATCTTTCTTCCATGGAACATCTGGTAGTTTCAAACTGATGACCTTGAAGTAAGCAGCCCAACTCATAACCACTGTGCTATCAGAGTTCCTTAATTAGGTAACAACAGGTTGCAATTCAGGGTGATAAACAACTTAAGGTACAGTTCATCAGTCAGGACAGTCTCTTCTCAGCCTCTCTCTGACCCTCAACCTCTAAGTGTCTGCCTTGCTTGGGCAAGTGTTGCAAAGCTCTTTTAGCTTCGCCAGTAAGTACCCAGGGCACCCCACTCCACCAGGAAGCCTCAGCTTGAAGGCATTCGGCTCTCACTATCCTATCTCCTGCTGATCTCCTGGTTCTGCAGCTACTGTTTCTCTGCCTCTGCTTCAGTGTCTACTGTCATCTCAGGCGTTAACAGCGCTCTCTCTCTGCCTCCTATGTTAAGGAGGTTCTTAGCACAGGGACCCTTGGTCCCAAAGATGCGCTTCACCCCCATCTCTTCTTGGTGGTCATAAGGTCCCCACTTCCTGCTCACTTCTTTCTCCTTTTATCTCTTATTAGATGGATCTCAAGCAAGGGTGTGGCTTCAGTAAGGCAGTGAAAGATGTTGCTAAGTGCTGTGGTTCCAATTCATAGCATTTCTGAGCTTGAACTGCTGACCTTGAACTTTTCAGTCTAGGCCATTAACCCACAGTGCCACACCAGGGTGACTTGAAAAAATTTGGTAAAGGTGGTGACTGTGATTGTGATAAGACTGTGTTAAGAATGGTGATTTGAGTCCTACCCACTAGTAAGATGGTGACTCAAGACACATCTCACCCTAATCGTGCCTCATCAACATAACAGACAACTCATTCCCAAATGGGACTCTAACCACCAGCTTGGCTAGAGGCTGTGATTTGCAGCGTATCAAAATATGGAGGGTAAGTACATAAAATTACAAATGGACTAGGAATCCTGGCCTAGACAAGTTGACATATAATCCCAACCATCACAGGTTCCATACAACCCATTTGCATGGTCACACTCAGTTACTGTTTGGGAGACACAAAGACTATAGCTGAAAAGTCCACGTTAAGTAATTTACTATACCACACTCCTAAATAAAAATAATGAATGAAAATATAAATGGCTGATAATAACATGATTCTGGTTTTCTGGTTTTGTATGTGAGTAGAAGTTGGGTATCTAGAAAGCTGAGCACCATATTGGCTTGCTTTGAGTCCTAGCTGCATCTGATCTTGCTATTCACCAGTGCTATGTGTCCTAAAAAATGTTCTTTAATTTTTCTGAGTCTCAGTTTCTTCATCTGCAAAATAGGAATAACTATAGCAACATCACAGAGTTATAAGAAGAATAACTTATCAGCTATATTTTATTAGTGGGAGAAAGAACTTCTGCATTAATCAACTAACTG